AAAATAAAAAACGAAGCAGCAGCTATTAACCAGCCCACGATATAACGAACATTTTGGTTGTTTTGCCGAAAATTCGTTACATCAAGGTTTACCATAAAACGAACCCTCGTTCGCCATATAAAGAACCAATTTCCCCAACCCCTTAGGACTTCGTGAAATAGAAGTTCCACTATACAAACAGAGGGAAAAGCTTACGATTCGGTGCGCTCGATAAAAAAAAAAAATTATTTAAATTAGACAGTACAGACTTCCGGTTTTCTAATAAGAAAGACATGTGGTTCTCGGAAAAATAATTTCATTTTATTGAAAACCACATGGGTGAAATGTAAATTAGAGTGGTCATAAACACGGCATTGCGCCCTTTACACTCTCTGGAACAGGCTGGACTATTATTGTTCACTTGAATATCACCTGATCTAAGATTATGAGAGTTTGACCCAAATAAAGCGGATACAAATTTTCACGGCAGATATTCTAAAAAGCAAGCAGTGGATGCACGTATTTATTACTTACATCGCGTGCCAGGTTTTGATTCAATCACACACACAAGGCTTTTGTTTCAGACAATGAATATTATAACTAATCTCTTGCGGGTGAGGCTTACTGGTCGCTGAGAGGAGAAGATAAACTCACTCACTACGTTTTTTACTGAACTCAAGAGAGAAGGGTTTTAGTCTTACCTGGGGTCGGAAATTCCGTCGTTTCTTCTTCTTCTTCTTCATTTCTGTAGAGAATCTGCCGCTATGTTGGAACACTTACGTACTGCCGCCAATCTCTATATTGTACACATGGCGCATTCAGTCTAAATAACGGATGAAAGTAAAACGAGCTTAAATAGCACGTGCTGTGACGTTATAGAGTCAATTCGGGGATCGCTTGCGTCACTTTTTCGTTTTCGATTCAAAATTGGGGTATTACGACAAATACAGCGAACATTTGAGTGAAAAAAGGTAAATTTGTCGTCTCGTTTCATTAACTTTTTTTAAAGATGGATCCGTTTCGAGGAAGATCTCAAGGTATTTAATGCTCACAAATCATTTAAATTTGCTAAAGAGCCTGTTTGTTTTCGTGTCGTGTTTACCAAAAATAAAATTCAGTAAATGAACTATTTTGTTTTGGAATATTCCGATCAATATAAGTATCTAGATAGACCGAAGGCGCTATGTAACAGAGCTATTTACTTTTAAGTTAAAATGGCTTATGTAAAACGGTACCAGTAAACAATCCTTATGTAATTAAAGTCATCTAAATGGACTTTTTTTTTTTTTTTTCAGAGGGCACGGTAACGAATCCTCTAATTGACAGGTGTCAGATTTTGACAGATACTTATAAAAATAATGTTTCAAAGTTTTTTTTGGAAGCCTTTTAAATCACCTTTGTCATTACGCAAAAGGAAATGTTTCGGTGAAGCATCTCTCTCTAATTTGCATCACCTCTATTTTAAGTACCATTTACTCGCTCAAAAATTGTTCAGTTTATGGAAGATCTTGCCGTATTTACAGCCCTAAATCATTCGGGTTCTTTCGGAAAGAATTTATTTAAGTTTAAGCAAATATATGTTATTTACCGGCTAAGGGTCGGTCCGTATGGTGAAAAACTGTGAAGACCGAGGTCACAGTTTTTCACCATACAGACCTCCCAGCCGGCAAATAATATATGTATATATAGAACATAGAGCCGAGCTCAAGCTGTCACGCCATCTGCCGAATTGTACCATATCCGGGACTTTTCTCCATGTTTTTTTTTTTTTTTTTGAAAGTGAAATTTCGGAACAGTCAAGTCGGCAAATAGCATTAGAAGAACCAAACAAAGTTTTGTAAACATGCCAGGCGCCGTAATTGACGTTATTATAACGTGAGCAGAGACGAAAATCCTCAAAAAGTAAAGGAAACGGACAGTCCGAGTTTTGAAGGTTTTCACACTCAGTTAGATTGCAAGCGTACGTACGGTAATAAAAATCAAACACAGCTAACACTAGTGCAGTGTATATAGTTTCGTGTTCAAAAACAAAACAGAACAAAACAAGAATGATGAAAAGTATAGCCAAACTGGCATAACTGTTAAAAACTCAAACTAATCATGACGGTGTCATATCTCCGGTCATAGCAGTCAAGTAAACCTCAAAATTAACATCGGCCGCCCTTCGAGAGAACAACTAAGAGCTTACTCGGGTATCCTTTCCGATGCGTCGAGTGGAAGGCCACATCAGTCACTGCAGCCGAGTTTTACGGCGCTGTCATCCCGAGCTACCTTCATGTTCTGGTAGGTTCGGCTGTCGTTCATTCATAAAACACATGCTTGAACGGTTTGTTTTCTAATTGTCATGTGAAAAAACTTCCGTGTTTTTATGAGCCACAATTCGGCCGGATTTCACTGAGCATTTCACTTTCAGGTTCTGTATTAGAGACTCAAAGGCTTCAGGCGAAAGAGTTAAATTCGACCTGCCGAACTATTAAGTTTGTAAACTATTGCAGAATGTGAATGTGATGGTTTTTGAACTTTGATGCTTTGACGTTTTTGACTGCTTCAGTCTTGTACAGCCAATCAAATTATTTGAACCATTTTAACAGGGATTCTGATTGGCTTATTGTAGCGTGCTTTATGAGAGTATATAAAGCATGCTGACGACACTGTTGTTCGCTTTGGAAATAAAGTTTGTTTTGAAAATTGAAAGTAATGCGGGCGTGGGCAACTTAACGGAGTCTTTTTTATAAAACAAATAGAGAAGCCTTGACTGAGCTCTTTTATTGTACTTAGGAAGTGGCTAAAAAACACTACGTCTCGTCTCTCCCTACGTTTTGATTCGTGCCCTAGCCGCCTCCTGCGTGCTTTACAACAGAACAGAGCACAAACAAGGCTTCTTTATTTGTTTATTAATGGTCGCGTTTTACGAACATTTAACAGTCGCGTTTTAAGAACATTTAACAGTCGCGTTTTACGACAACTTTAAAGTCGAAATTTTTAAAAAAATTATTACATAAGACCATTAATTTGGCCTTAATTACATAAGGGTTGTTTATTGGCTTTGCTTTACATAAGCCGTTTTAACGGAAAAGTAAATGTCGCTGTTACATAGCGCCTTCGACCAAGAAACTGATATTGATCTATTGATTTTTTGCAAAAACGAGCTGTACGGGCTATCATCAACTCGAGCACACTCTTCTCCTTTTTTCTCCAAACTAGAAATGTTAGATGTTTTGCAAGTCAATACGTTCGAAATCGCCAAATTCATGTTTCATTATAAAAAAGGTATCTATTGCCCCCATTGCTTCTCAATCTTTTTGTTACAAATAGCCAAGTTCACTGCTATGGTATCAGAACTGCCAGTAATTAACAAAAGCATTCGTGTCGTACAAATCTCAAGCAATTAACAATTCTCTACCAAGGTCCTAAATTTGGAACTCCCTTCTTGTTTCAGTCCCTCGTCAGTCATATCTTCCTAGCTTTAAGACAAAAATCCAAAAGTTTTTACCTATATAAACACTAAATTGGCCAAGCCACACATTGGCAGCACTTATCCTTTCTTAAATATATTGTTGTTAGTGAGGTAACCTCTCCCATAAGCCTGGTGGCTTCTTGGGTCTCGTCGCCTTCCACAAATCATAACGCTGAGGATAATTTTTTTTTCGGATTGTTAAAAAGGCATAAAAATAACGGCAAAAGAAAAAGACTCACGGCAAAAGGGAGAACCTCACGGCAAAAATGAAAAGACTCACGGCAAAAGAAAAAACCTTACAACAAAGAAAAAACCTCACGGCATTAAGAAAAGACTCACGGCAAAAGAAATAACCTCACGGCAAACGAAATATCAATGTCCTCACGGCATAAAAGAGAGCGTATAGGGGCTGGGAGGTTTTTTCTTCTGCCGTGAGTCTTTTCCTTTTCGCCGTGAGGTTCTTCCTTTTACGGTGGCCCATGTAACGTGTCACGGCAAAAACAAAACTTACAACAAGACAAAGCGAACCAACGGCAAGACAACCGCAATTCACGGCAAATCTCAAGGAACTCACGGCAAGACAACGCCAATTTTTCACGGCGGAAGTGAGAAGCCACGGCGGAAGTGAAATGCCACGGCGGATGTAACCTGACAACTACTTCATCATGAATTATGGCGGAATCTGTGGAAGTTGACCTAGAATGTGAGTACTTGGAGTTGCCAGAAGACGACGAAGTTCTCCGAGCTTTCAGGATCCATTTCTCTAAGCAGTTCTTGTACAACGATGCGCGGTACTCTAGTTCCTCTCAGCTTCAGTGCGTGCCATACTGACCTGTATCCAAGTAAACATCCATGGCCGTCGATAATAATTTGGACAGATGCCCTCACATCATCGATGTTGTAATCCGGTCGTTTTATTTTCAAACCATAGCTTTCAATTCGCCGTTTTAAGGTACTTACGCTCATTTGGATGTCGTGGTTTTTCTGTAAAGACAAACGGATCTCTTCCTACTCGAAGCCCCTGAAGAAAAAATAGCGGATGAGGCTTTCTTCGTCGTCTTCTGGCAACTCCAAGTACTCATCTTCCAGTTCAACTTCCACAGTTTCGCCATAGTGCACAAAAACATATTGTGGCCTGTAATGGAATAGTTATTAGGTTACATCCGCCGCGGCATTTCACTTCCGCCGTGGCATTTCACTTCCGCCGTGGCTTCTCACTTCCGCCGTGAAAAATTGCCGTTGTCTTGCCGTGAGTTAGCGTTGTCTTGCCGTGAGTTCGTTGAGTTTTGCCGTGAATTGCGGTTGTCTTTGTTAGTTCGCTTGGTCTTGTTGTAATTTTTGTTTCTGCCGTGACACTTATGGGCCACCGCATCCTTTTGCCGTGAGTTTTTCTTTTGCCGCGAGGTTATTTCTTTTGCCGTGACAGTTGTGGGCCACCGTAGAGTTGTCTGTCATTTAACGATATGTCGTGTTACATGAAATCGAGTGTACAAAGCATAAATACTCGTGAGATTTGCCTGCTTGAACTGATAGCACTCTATAAAAGCTTTCCCTCACAAAAAGT